AGCAACTCCACCACACAGCAGAACTCCTCCAGGCTTGTGGTATTGGTGGAGATAAAACATTAACGTCACAGAACAGAGTCGGTGGTAGAGTCTTGTTGCTGTTAGCCAATCAGAGGAGAGATGTCCAAATATCAGGAAGTAAGACTCCATCCTCCCGTCTTCAGCCCAACTGATCTGGCTCACTTCTACTTCCTGAAACAGGAGCGCCAGAGCTTTTTTCCCCACAGAGATCGATTTAGCGCCTCAGCTATCCCGCTGCTACAAACATAACAAGGTGGACTGGTGCCGATAGGAAAAAGTGTTTGTTCATGTTTTCAGGTCAGACACCAGTGTGTTGGTCTCCACAGACGTCATTTATCCACCTTGTTCCTAGCGTCTGAGCCTGACTTGTGCCCTGATTTTATTTTATTTTTTTACATGGAGACCATAGATGGATGCAACAGAGGGTTGGGAGGATGCTCCTGAACTCCTAAATGAGCGTCTAATCCTGCTGTGGACACGTGTAGACAATAATTTGCCATTTCAGTGCATCTTAGTTAAAATGATAATATTCGGCCTAAAACTGTCAGTGTTGCGCCCTCTTCAGGTAAAACCTCTGCACTACTTTTGAATTAAATCTGCCATCACCATTGGCTAAGAGGTGTACTATGAGGTTAACTGGTACCATATGATGTCACTGTGAGCCAGTGTGTGTATTTGTTAGCGGCTCCGCCCTCTCGGGCTGCGTGACAACGCCTTCTTGTCGCACATTTTTCAAACCAGAAATGGGAGTTGAGTTAGACTCTAGTAGGGGATGACTTTCTCTATCTCGGTTACGTCTGACGGCGTGGCAAGAGCTCCGATAGTAATGAGGTTGGTGGTGTTTTGTTGAAAGAGGTGGGACACCGTCTTATTTACTTAAAAGCCGACGTAGCGCTGAGTCAGAGCCTTAAATCCCTCGTCACCACGCCTGGGTTTTAGCTTCTACATCAGGTGAAATACAAACAGCAGGTTGTTCATGGAAGGTAGCTTTTATCCGATTTTATATCTGCATTTATACTGAAAGTAGTTTATTTTATTACTGCTTTAGATAATCAGGTGTTGTGTAGAAGGTTGTATCACAAGATTCATGATGTCATTGTGTAGGAATACAAGGATCGGGAAAATATGCTTGTTTGTATAAAAGTGCAGCATGGGATGTTTTTCTGGAGCATTTTTCACCATGCTACTTAAAATTCTCCACAAACTGATGGCAAAAAATCAAATCAATGCTTTGTCAAAAAGATGAATAATTTCAATCATCTCTGAAGCATACAGTCATGGTAAAATCTCATCCAGTCTTAACGATTGGACCATAACCCTTCCATCAGACTGCTCCTCTGAACATCTCTCACCACGCTACGCATAACTCCCTCTGTGCACGAGTCGCACACTCGTGTCTCGGAGCAGCCAAACTGGAAGCCAGCTGAGCTGCCTAGCGCCACAGGTGGATTGTCCCGTTCTGCTTTCAAATCTGATTTAAGGAGTTGCTTAACATGTTCTGTTTAGAGTCTGGTTCTGTTCTTGTAGGGAAACATTTGGGTGGCGGACCTGTTGTCTTGGAATGCAGCCTGTAGGGCTGGCAGAGCTGTGTGTGTATTGTAACAAGGGGAGGAGGTTCGGTTCGGGGTGGGCTCTGGGTCCAGCCGGTCCTGTTTCTTCAGACAGGCACACACATGTGTGCTGCACTATTTTCTGTGAGCATCAGATCTGATGACTCTAGCTTGAGAAAAGTGGGTCTCACCTTTTTGAATCCTTTGGTTTGATGTAGTTACGGCAGTAAAACATCACACACAGCACCTTTAATAGATGTTGCTTCCTGCAGATGCTGATGAAACGTTTGGTTGGTGTCCTGAGATATTGTGACTGAGGAGTTTTCTGTTTTCAGATGACATGTGGCCTAAAAGAGCTGTTATTAAACGGTCAGACTCAGGAGCCGGCGGTCGGTGTGTTTCCTCAGCTCTTCTCCTGCCTCACCGTCAGACTGGGAGCGAGTGTGGGAGTCGCTGCACCAAAGGACAACACCCACAAACACACCACCTCCATCCACGTAGCAGGGTACATGTCTGCTGTAATGCTGCAGCCATTCGTGACTTCTGTCATGTAATCTGGTTATTTTGGTTCTAGGGTCGCAGCTGATGCGCTCAGAATCCTGTTAGCCCGAGCTCAGTTAGATGAAGTCATGAAGCGCCTGGAGGAAGAAAACGCCTGGGATGTGATGAAAGAGCAGAGCACACACGTTCAGGGTGTGACCCTGTTGGCAAGGTAAACACACACACATACACACACACACTCTATTCCCCTCTGTGTGTCCTGTTGATGTTGGCTCAGCCTTTAATTCACTTCTTTTAGTTGAATTAATAGTTTTTCTGTTTTTTCATTCCTCTGTTTCATTGAAGCCTGTTTATGAACTCTTTAATGAAGACTTTGTACACTGTTTGGTTTTTAATGGGATAGCCCTGGTCTTCCTGAGAGACATACACACTCTTGAGTGCGTGTGCACGAGTCATTTTAATTTTGTGACGGTGTTTCTAATCTCAGGTTTTCCTTATTTAATCATGAAAGAGCTTTAGAAACGACACCCTGGGTTTGCTCATGTTCTCTCCAGAGCGATGGCGAAGCATGCCGGTCCCAGGTTGCCAGCCATCGTCGAGTGTCTTTGTCCATCTTTGAACAACATCTACGAATGTCAGAGAATTACCGTCACGGCTTTCTTCTCAGAGGTGAGTTTAAAACAGCCGTTGCTGTTTATCTTCCGGAGTCTGAAGTTTAGTTTTGAAGAACAATGATGATTTGTGATCCCAGCTGTTGAACCATCACGTTGTGACTGAGCTGATGTTGATAGACGTGTTGATGAACAACATGATGGAGAGGATCTCGGATCCGTGCTCCACAGTTCGCATGTTGGCCGTGCGTGGACTGGGCAACATAGCAGATGGCTCTCCTGAGAAGGTACACACTCTTAAACGATAACACACACTTCTTTATTCAGTCGCTGTCGGCTCATTTCAAACTTTTTACCGCAAGGTGAATAAATATGCCAAAGAGCTGCTGGCAGCCATGAGCTCAGGGATGGAGGAAAAAGATGATCCAGGTGAGTTGAGAGGGCAGGTAACGCTTTAGTCCATCAGGTAAAATGTTGGTGTCTTCTACAGGAAAACTCATAACTCTAGAAGCCATGTCTGGTCTGTCCAAAGTTCTCCTGCATTTGGACAAGAAGAACGTCCACTTACTGGTAGTCTACATATTCATGAAGATCAAACCGTTCTTGGAAAGCGTAGGTTTTTACCTTTTATGGCGTACGAGTAAAGTGATCTTCTCTCCTCTTTGGTCCCAAACACATCCAGACATGTAACTCTTAGCTGTTTCCAGGACAACGATGAGATCCGATGTGCTTCCATCCTTCTGATGGGGAACTTGTCCAAGTTTGGCTCAGGAGAGCAGGTGTTCAAGGACCAGATTCACAATGTTCTGGTCAGCTTACTGTTGCACCTAGTGGACCCAAACCTACAGGTGGTGAAGGTACAGGAGGACACACAAGATGGACGTGTGTGGTTGAGCCTCAGCAGTAGGGGCTGCCATTGAGCTTGTTTCATTCTTGGGCTTTTTGTTGTTGGACCTCACAGGCTTGCAAGTTTGCAATGCGAGTGTTCACTCCTGTGGTGGGGTCAGAGCACATCACAGCCATGTTTCAGAACCACCTGCATGACGACAAGAGCCTGCACTACGGAGAGTTCATCAATGATCTCACCAAGTACCTGGTGAGGAAACCAAACAGATCTTTAGTGTCGTCGACCATCAGGACACAACGTGGTGCCTGTGATTCTCACCGAGCATTTTGTTGGTTGTAGATCCAGGATTTTCCCTGCATGCTGAACTTCTACCACATCTCAGTCGTCCAGTTCTTCAAGAGCAACTGGCCTGAGATCAGAGCAGCTGCTGCCATGTTCATAGGTACCTCAGCACCCTACAGCAACCCCGTAACACTATCAGGCCCGCCCTGGAGACCCAAAGTCTCAAACACTAAACAGTTATCCTCTCAACAACCACGATGATCATTTAGATACAATTCAGTTTTGACTTCAGAAATGCAGAACATCATGTAGGACGGAGTAAAAGAGCTAATGGTGTGTCTGTCATCAGGGTTCCTGCTGGGAAATCTTCAACAGGAGCACCGCTGTCACATCAACACGGGCACCATCACTAAAGGTGATGCTCCTCCCATTTCTGCCTCAGTTAAGCTGCTCCGTGTTGTTTGGTTGTATTTATTTACGCGTTTCTTCACAGGTTTAGTGATGTTGCTCCAAGATCCAGATCCTTTGGTGAGAGTGAAGGCTGCTGAGGCAATGGGACACTTCCAGTGACACCACCAGACCGTAGCGCTCTGTTACTATTTAAATGTAGAGTTCGTACATGTTTCAGTTCACCGTGACGATTTGTGTTAAAATACATGCAATTTAAAAACATCCAAGAAAACCAAAAAGGACCAAGACAAGAGAAGAAACCAAACTTTATTTATAACAAATGTTTCTGCGATGAGCGGATAGTAGCTAGGTACACGAGTCGTTATTACAGGTAGATGTTAGCGACGTGTGTGTGTGTGTGTGTGCGTGCGCGCGTGTGTGCGTGCGCGCGTGTGTGTACGTACATGTCATAACAGTAAATAATAGTCGCAGCAGATCTGGGACGAGTCTGAAGGCTCGTAGCTCAGAGCTTGTTTCATGCTAACCTCCAGCCATAACTAAACTCATTTTACTTTAGTACCAGCAGGTTTTACTCTGACAGACGTGACGCTGCTGCTAATAAGCTAACCGACTTGTTGAGAACAACAAAAGTGCAGACTTGAGTGGTCTTCTCCTGTTTAGATAGCTGGGTTTCTGTGGAAAGAGCGTTGACAGTTACTCCGGATTCTTCATTCGTGGTTTGGATGTGTTGATTTTGATCAGACGGAGGTGCTAACGGCTAGTCATAGCTGCCACAGTTAGCTACCGATAGCCAGCTGCTGCTTACATTGACAAACATAAACCACTAAAATATCTATTTATTTATAGGAGTTGTTTTAAGATTGCAGAATTCCTTGGACTAGCTGTTAGCTCATCAATCCAGTTAGAAGTCATCTCTTTTTCACCAAACTGAGGCCATTTAATAAAAAGTAACTACTTTAAGGATATGAACGGTTTTAAACACGACTACGACCCCGGTGTTGTGACGTAGAGCACCGCGGGTTTCACCGAGCGTCCAGCCAGGGCTAAAGGCGCCGTCCCCGACGACAGCGGCGCTGTGGATGTTTCCATGCTGATGGTGTGTGTGTGTGTGTGTGTGTGTGTGTGTGTGTGTGTGTGTGTGTGTGTGTGTGTGTGTGGTTTTAGGGGACTGCTTCACAGGTGCTTGTGATGGTAAACGTGAGTGTTTCTCTGTCATTGATGCCTCTGAACACGTCCTGAACGGATTAGTTTTTGTTGAGTTTGGTTAGCGATGTGTTTCAATGAACGGGTGAAAAGCTGATCCTTCTGTTGCACTTTTCAACCTGATCTGATCTGAGCTGAGTAGTTCCAGATAAACGGTTTCCGTAGCAGCCGGGAGCTCCCAACTGATCGCCATTCGGTCCCTCCTGGATTTGATCCCTTTCTCAACGGGAATCTCAGGAATGATCCAAGGAAATGTTTTCAGACTTGGCTCAAATGTCGACTTGCACAAGAGATGACATTTTAAACATGAAGGTAAACTGGTCTCAGTCCGTTTTGAATAAGACCGCAGGGCTGTGCTCATATCAGTTCTCATGTCTGAAATGCTCCTCCAGCAGGGACTCGTGTCCTCGAGTCGTTTTAACACTAAGGCTTTATTTAGGGTCATCACAGTTTATTTAAAGTTGTACATTTTCCATGTCCGCCTTTTTTACGTACTGAATGGTGTGTGTTGGGTTGTGCTGAAGAAAGTGGACACAATGATTTAAATAAAGAATTCAACACAGCTAGAAAAGTGCAGCGCGTCTTTTTTGGGTGGTGAGAGATTTACAAATGATTGTTTGATTTGTTTCTATAATTTCATAAAATATGTTTTAGAGAATAAAATCCTGGTTTTCGGTGTTTCCTTGCTTCTGTCTTTAATCCTTTCATTTGCTTTGAGGAACGTTTCCCTAGAAATCCTGTAATAAAGGAATTTCCTCATATTTCCCTGCAGACCGGTTCCGTTAAACCATCTAATCTTTAACTGCGTCTGCACTCCTGTGACATTAGAAGTCCTTCCACCTTAGTGTGAGAGTAATACCTACCAGGTAGTTTTCATTGTGGGGATTTAGTAATAAATAAAACTGAACGTTTATCTTCTCAGTTGGACATTTTTATCCCGTTAGGATTCATTTGATGATTTTATTCCAGAGAAATGCTCCTTCCTGTCTTACATTTCCGGTTTGGAGTGTTCACTTTGGCCGTGCTCAGTGGGCGGGTTTAGGAAGTTGGTGATGTCATCAGCTCGTCACTTCAAACTGGGTAAAGTTGTATTTTCACTTATTGAACTTACTCTGGTGAATGAAACCATTTTTATGGAAACCCAGATGGTCGCTGGATAGAAACTTCTTGGTTTGACTTCAGTCTGAAATTCAAACAATGGTTGTATTATTTAGTCACGCAGAGTTTCAACAAATGAAACCATTTCTAAGCCAAACGTGTAAAAAAGAAAACCCCTAAAGAGTTTTGTTCTGTTCCTGAAAAGTGTCCACACACACGTTTACACCAAAGGTCTGAAGCTGAAACCGACTTGGAGCGTTTCCGCTGGTTCATTTTTACCAAGTCTCAGGGGCGGCGTTAGGCCCGGCTACTTGGGCTGAAGCCCCGGATCTTCTTCAGTCCTAAATCTGCCCCTGCGCAAGTCTTCAGACTTCCTGAAGAGGAAAATATCTCCGTTAACTCTCCGATGCTGTCGTAGAAACGACGGTAAAACCGGTGGAGAGCAGTCCTCTGTTACTGGAAAATCCTAATAAACACACATTTAATGTGCAAATAAAAATAATCCTTGTGGGATTATTAGGATCTAATAAAATGCCACAAATAGACACAAGGAAGTAGTTTAACGTAAATCTGAATCAACCTTCGTCTCTTTAATCTTTTTGTCTCAAAATGAGTTTTCATCCATCGCCGTTAAACGTCTTTTACTCCCACGAGCTGACCTAATCTGTCTCTTCTTCTTCAGCCTTGTTTTTTAGTGTGTTTAATCTGGACTTGTTGAAATAAAAACCACAGGAGGATTTAGGACTTTATGGAGTTTCTCTCTTTAATAAAATGATGAATGTTTTCTGTGGACAGGTGGGAGAGCAGAGGGAGATGGAGGAAACACGACTGGATGTTTCCCTCCATGTCCTGTAACGTTTGTGATCTATTGTGCGAAAGTGCGTTAAAGTGGAGCTTTTGTATTCACAGACCGAAGACCTTTCATCGGCAGTTTGTTGTTGCTCTGGTTGTGAGCGCAGTGCTGATCTTCTGTTATCATGAGGTGTGTGGGTGTCGATGGGGTGACTGAGAGCGAGCGGGCCTCTATGGGGAGTATTCGTACTCCTCTGCGCTGCGTCGTCCAAAGTCCATCCAGCCGAGGTAATCTCGGTCCTTTATCCTGTGGTTTGGGGCGACGGCTCTGCTGCTGAGGGAGGATCTGCTCTGGAAGGAAGAGCCTGGAAGAGACCGAACATCATTCTCAACCTAATCGCTCATAAACCTCATGTACCTCCATACCTCAGAACTCTAGATGACTCATGTACGCGACGTACCTGCATGACTCATTTACCTGCTCAAAGACCTCATGTACCTCCATACACAGTATACCCTTCATCTACCTGTCTACCCCGTGTGCCTCAATTCCTCACATTTCTCTGCACGTCTAATACCTCCACATCTCTCCATACCTCGTATATCTTGCAAATCAGACACTTGAGCTAACTTATTCTGACTTCTGCAGGTTCTATTCCTGTCCCTCTATGGTCTTCGGGTCCAGTGAGCTCAGCACGTCTCCCAGTCACACACAGATCCACGGTGACGGAGGGGCAGAAAGGGTTCGGGATGAGGGGAAATGACGGAGGAGGGGGAGGCATGGCAGCAGAAGGGAGGCGGGACACGCCAGATGGTGGGACGGGGGCGCAGCGGGAATGACAGCAGAGGGATGGATGTCAGGGGGAAGGCAAAATAAACAGAAATAGGGACATTTGCTCCAGTCAGAGCACTCACCTTTTCTGGAAAGGAGTCTGGCCAGGAGCTGGCTCAGGCTGTTGGGAGCATATTCCAGGGGCTGGTTGTAATGGGAGAACTGGTCTGAGGGGGGTGCTGGAGCCGAGCGGGCCTGGCGTGTGTGGTTGTGCGAAGTGGCGGGTAGGCTTTGTGTGACCAGAGCTTTACTCTCCACTCCCTGCAACAGAAAAGAAAGATGTGAGAGTAAAAATAATCCATAACCAAATATTAAATGTGAAAACACGCCTCTCTAAGTGTGAGTCTCACCATGGACGGTAAAGGCAGGCTCAGGGAGCCTCCGGACAAAGCAGCCAGGATGACACACACACAGATCCCTACATTCATGACTGACCACAGGAAGACAGGAGGGAGAGATAAAGTTACAGCAGATTCTTCATTCTTTTCATTAAGAGCAATAAAAGTATGTTTGATGAATCAAACACACACACACACAGAGACAGACAGGTGTAAGAAGGAAGCACAGTCGGCGGTGGACATTTCTCAAAGGAAGCACAGATTCTTATAAAATCATTTCTCTGATCTGAATTAACGAAGGCCGATGACATTTTTAGATAAATAAACGTGTTTCCTTCTTATTTAAAGTATTTATCTCATTCACATAAAGACACAGCAAACAGATGTTCCACACGTTTAACAGGATATTACAGGAAGCTAGTCAGCTTCATTAGGAATCTTCATTAGCTGTGAGGAAGTTTCTTCTTCTGAGAGAATTCTTCTGCAGGAAAACGTCCAATTAGATCAAAGCAGCAGCCGTTGCTCGGAGGCGATCCGTCTCCGGGTTTTATTACAGTTCAGGAACACATTCATCAACACTGAGCTCTTCCCCTGACTTAAAATCATTTTGTCGTTTGTTTTTGTCTTCTTTTAGGAAAGGCGTGAGATGAAAAACACTCAAATCACTCCACGTGATCGACTTTAAATTAGATGATATTATTATAGGCTCAGATCTTCTTCCTGTTAATCTTCACTGATTATTTCCCATATTTTTAAGCTTTGGAACGTGGCAGAACACTGGAGAAAGCGAGAATGAATGCTGATGTTTCACAGATTTCATCTCTGAAGCACAAAAGTGTTTGACTAGTTTGAATGAAACCTGAGTGTTGGTGTAAACAGTCATTCTCCTGATGCTAATATAATTCCTGCTGTTGCCTCATTAATTATTCATTGAGTCGGTGATGATGGGATCCAGCATCTCAACTACAACTCACTCAGTGAACATTTAGTTTTTATTTAAGGAGACAAAGAAAAAAATAGATACGCAGAATTTCATTAAAAGATGCAAATATTCAGACAAAGAAAAAAAGAATTTTTCTTTATTCATCGTCATTCAAATCTTAGAGAATTAGAATTTAGTTTTCCTTTTTCCTTTATCAGTAAACCCCAACTGATCATGTCATCATTTTTTTAATATCTGGTTCTTTATGCTTCCTCAATAATTTTCTCTCTTTGGTCAAAAATATTTAGTTTTTACATTATTTTACAAATAAAACTGGAAAACGAAGCTGTTTTGAATTATTCTCCTGAGACATTTGATCCTTTATGCTCACAAACTAAAAAAAAAACCCTATTTAAAGAAAACGGTGTGGAAAACATCCGCTGAAATTGAAAATGAAGAGACAAAATATTATCAATTAACAATAATAATTCCCTTACCTGCAGTTGTTGGCATCAGTTAGAGGATGATCTGAAGATGCTGAGCTTGGCTCCAACGTTCAGGCTGCACCAGAGTGACAGTGGGAGGGGACGTTTTATACTGACGGAGGGGTAGTGGGAGGGGCCTGGAAATGTGGGAGGAGCCTGGTGCTAGCACAGAAACTGGCAGCACTGACGCCACTGAAGACGCAGACATGCACACATGCTGAAGATGCACAACTTACACACACACACACACACACACACACACACACACACACACACACACACACACACACACTTTGAGTTCCAGCTATGGCAGCTTTAATTGTTGTGCCCACACCTCACACACCATTCAGAGTGAACTGCAGCATCACCGCTGACGCAGCGCGGCGCGCAGCCGCTCAGACTGGAATGGATTTTGCTAATTAAAGCGAAGGTTATTGTTTAAACATGACAGGCCCTGCAGCTACAGGAGGAAGCCATTTTCATTCTGAAGCTTTGCTTTCATCAAACCAACAATTATCTCTCCTGGGATTCTGACTAAATGATGAGGAAGGGGCGTGAACATAAAATCTGAGACTTTTCATGAAACTTTCCTGTGTCCAGAGTTGGCAGGCAGGCTGTGAAACGGCCTACCGCCTCACAGATTTCCTCTGTTTCTGCTTCCTTTTGGTGAAACTTAAATGTTTCCAATCTGAAGCAAATTTTGATATCAGACACACCTGAGTCGGAAAACAATATATCCAACCAATCAGATGTCGTGTGGATAAGTCATCTACCATTAGATTTAAACTATCGGGAACTATCTTGGAACAACTGCAGTCAAGCATTCATGATACCAGGTTAGGAGTTGGACTCGTCACCATTGGGAAATTTTGTCCTATTCTTCTTTACAGGATTTTTGTTTCAGCCACAGTGGAAGGTTTTCCATAACCAATGTTATAATTAAGGTCAAAGGTCAGATGTTCTCCTTCAGGGGTTTTTGGTCCTGAAGCAGCAGAGCAGCCCCAGGCCATCACATGACCACCACCATGTCTGACTGATGCTGTGATGACGTTTGTCTAAAATGTAAAGTTAGTTTTCACCAGATGGAACGAGACTCACTCCTAAAGTTCCACTTCATCAGTCCACAGATTCTTTTATAAAGTTTTCTGGGACGGTTGGGATGTTTTCTGATTTTGTCAGCAGAGGGGTTTGTCTTGGATGCCATATATGCCTAATCTCTCTTTGGTTGTTGTTACAACCAGATATGGTGGAACATAAAGAAAAGGCAAATGGGGGAGATTCCAAACAAACTGTTTTATTAAATAAGGTTCTTAAGTTAGGAAGAAGAGGCACTGGGTGATTGGGTCCTGGCTTGTATGCTGCCGGCAAGAGGGAGAGAGCATGGCCCTGGCTCAGGGGCCTCGGGTCGGGTGGACCATGATTCCTTCCTGAACTGGCAGGAACACTTCTGTTCCATCTGTTTCCCTCTGGGATTAATAAAGTATCTTTGCTTGATTTGATCTGGAACTGCTGGTGAAGCTGACCTCTATGTTGTGTAATTCCATGTAGAACCACCACTGTGCACCTGTGACAGCCTGCTGCATTCTGTACAGCATTTGTTTGGATCCTAGTGACCACGTGGAGGAGGAGCTAGAGCAGGACGAGAATGACCCACATCCACCACAACCCAACAATGAAGATGCTTCAAACTACAGAGACAGGATTTGTTCGGAGATGTTTGGTCGATTTAATTTCTGACTATGTAAAACGATTTCTTCGGTTTTAAAGTGTGAAGTAAACTCTGACGAAGTAAAATCCAAGCCGATCCCGTTCATTTTGTTTACATTTGTTGCCTGCCAACATGGCATCTACTCTCTGAGAGTCACGTGACGTCCATAGCTCTATAGAGTGGAATAGAGCTCCAACCCCTACCGTGCCCCTGGGATACTTTTTAAAAATGCCAGAAGCTGTCGGAGCGGACTTCTTACCGGACCTGGCCGGGGAACGCCTTGGGATTCCCCCAGAGGAGCTGGTCCAAGTGGCTGGGGTGAGGGAAGTCTGGGCCTCTTGCCTTAGGCTACTGCCCTCGCAACCCGACTCCGGATAAGCGGATGAAAATGGATGGATGGATGGACAAATAACAGATTTACATGTAAGTAGTTTAAATAGAGTGCTGTGCTGTTTGAATGTATGAACTGAACGCCAAGAGAAATCACTAGTTTGATTTTTCTCCGTGAATGAAATAAATATGTCAGACAGGAGCGTCGCAGGATCTGTCTGAGATCTGTCTCGGTGAGACAGATATTAGCAATCCAAAGTGCTTAAAAATTAAATACATCTTAGCCGGTTAATTGCTCTGATCCTAAAACACGTAAACGGCAGCATGCAGAACTCACGAGGCAACGTTTTACGAGATGTTTACTTGTTGCTATGAGTAAAAAGCCACGCCAACATAAAGTTAGGAAGCCCACTAAGAATCGTAATAAAAGCATTTAAAATGTCAGCAAATGGATGAACGTTTTGGTCACACAGCGGTGGGAAGTGCACCACCTGGCACAACTGTTTCAACTCCCCTCTTTCTTAAAGAAGCCCATCCTTCAATAGCTGGCTCAGCCATCACCTGCTGAAACCGAAGAGCAACCTGGTCCCTCATCGGCCATACAGGATAGACAAGCTTCTGGCTCTAGGAGAAGCAAGACTGTTCATCTCCCAGCGTTTTTTCAGTCCCATGAGGCCCATGCTGAGCGCAGGACCACTGCTTTGGAGTCATTTATGAGGCCAGATTTGGCCAACTGGAGACGGCTGAAAGAAAAAGGAAGAAGGGGGTTTGAGAAACAAGTCATTGCATGCATGGGTCAAATCCTGAATCAGTTAAAAGAATTTGGAAAGCAGCAAGAAAAACGTATCAGTTTGTTAGAAAGACACTCAAAATAAAAATGTATATCTGAGCGTTAAAGGTATTTTTGTGTTTCTTATCATTAAAGGATTTAACATAAAAGCAGTGGCTGGCATGTCAAATTACTAACGGTAATGTAACTTTGCCTCTGGGGACCAATGATGCTCCGAGATCCCCTGATGGTTTTGCCTGGGTTCATATCACCCAGTTTCTATGAGCTGCCACTGGGAGGCACATCAGGAGTCTTGATGGTAGAGATGCACTTTGTTCAAAACTTAATGTACAGATTTAGGAGTTGGAGAGCAGACTGATTTCACTTAAAGTGCATCAAATCCCCGTGTGGCATACAGCACACTAGCTCACATAAATGTGTGGGAATGAAGAATAAAACCAAACATTGGATAAGGTGCTGGGGTAAGGGTGGGCTAGCTTCAATCTGGGAACAAATCCTGCCTAATATGAGTAGTGGTAACCATCACAAAAGCCTACCTCCACTTGTCCTCTGGAAAGTCTGAAGCGGCCTTTAAAGTCAGAATGACGGTATAAAGGAATAACATTCTCAACAAAGTTTTTCACTTTTGGCACAGACCTGAAATAAATTATATGCACATTATTCTAATTTACATCTGAAGCAGTATCTTCCCTGCTGCTTCCATCTGCTCTCGTCTGTTTTCCAGGCGAGGCACTGCTCAGCTCGAACAAATAGTCCAGCTGCGGGCTTCTGCCTGCCAATATGGCGCCATTTCGATTTGAACTGTTGCATGCCGGGAGAAGTGACGTCAACTCCCGGAGCTCTATTCTATTCTATCGTCTTCAGTATGAGGGGAGGACGTTCAGACCGCTGTCCATGGTGCTGACTGTAGGAAGTGGTGGTGCATCACTAGCCATGGTGCTGGAACCTGAGAGCAGGCTTCCAGGACGGACAACAGCTGTCAAGCCGTGAAGTCTGACCTGAACCTGAACAAGTGAAGCCTGCAGTGCTGATGTTGTTCTGGATTGACTGACTTTATTTTTACCTGGGTCCATTCTGCGATGGACTGGCAACCGTCCAAGGTGTAGCGTGCCTGTTTGCCCGATGAATGCTGGAGATAGGCACCAGCCCCCCATGACCCGTGAACAAGTGGGTATGGAACATGGATGGATGGATGGATGAGTGAGTGAAATTAGTTTGTTGATCTGAAATATTTAAGTATGACATGAATGAAAACAGATTTGAATGAATAAAGTAGTTTTTCACAGCAGTATATCTGCAGGACTATGAATGGGGTTTTACATGTTCAGCACCAATGGCTGCAGAGATTTCAACTCCGCAGATCCCATCACGGACATCTACAGGATCCCCCACCACCCCCCCCCCCATTCCAAAATGTTCCTATCTCCTCAGAAATGGACCAAGGTCAACATTGGATAAGAGAAAGCTTCAGAGCAAACTTCCAGCCTCCTGCAGCAGATACATTTCTCACACAGACAAAGTCACAGCATGAAGGTATTTTTGTCCTAGCAGGTTAAATAGAGTTCATGCATTTCAGAACCAGAACATCAAGGCGAAGCGGTCGTACCAGAACACTTGATGGTCTCCATCCTCCAGCGGTACCCTGTCGCCCCCCTGCAGCTCACTTAAGTCCAGATTTGCTTGTTTGTGGGAATCATTTTAAATTCTTCAGTTGTTCGGTCGGGACGCGTTTGGAAGTGTGTTTGGTAAAATCCTTTTCTCTCTTCAGCTTTTTGTAGTTTAGGAGCTGAACCTTTGAACCTCCCAGGAGAGATTATGACCCTCGGGCTGAATGAATAAAACATTAATGTGAAGGACAAACTGATTTAAGATGTGTGGTGCTGCATCTCTGGTCTCTTAGACAACAAACATCACTGAGTTTCAGGTTTTTTTTTAACTTAACCCACGTCATGAACAGAAACGCAAGTCTGATGTCCTACTAGGATGTTTAAACACAGTTTTTTATTTATGATGTTTTAAATTTAAATCTGGTAAATACTGATAAACATGTGATCACTTTAAAGCCTTAACTAGAATCTCTACAATCTTTACTAACAACTAACTTGTTGGAGGTCGGACTTCAACCTGGAGCACCATATTACTTCCACACCAGAAGCTCCTATCACAGATACTCCAGCAGCAAAACCTGCCACAGGTAGCTCCAGACCTCCAGCTAATACTCCATCCTCCCTCTGGATTTCAGATGTAAAGCTGCAGGAAGGTCTGAACCATGTGCTAAA